AAGGGAAACCCAGAAGAGCAAACTTATTTAAGAAGGAGAAATGAAGCAGTGCTTCACTAATATGCCTGACCAGAACCACTGTTTTCAGCACTGAGGACACACTGTTGCTATGACTGGATCTACACAATTACAGGATTGTAGTCACAGTTGGGAGGGGCAGAGGATGTGGAAGTTCGTCCCCATGTGCATCACTGGTCACTATTCATCACTATTCATCCGCCCCGGTGCCGGATCACCGCCTGTACAGGAGACAGACACGCAGTGGTCGTCTAGCTTTCATCGGACTGGAGCATCTTCTCGATCTCCTGATCCCACTGCTCATCTTTGTTGTCGCACTCAGCGACCATCTCGTACTCCTGGAGCTCCTGCTGCAGCTCCTTCTCCCAGTCTGCGGACTCATCTGGAGGAGGGAGAAGAAAGGTTATGAGCAATACAATCACAAAATATTTTCTTACAAAATCAGAAGCACAGCATACAGAATCTCTTCCGAAACTAACCGTCAGGAGAGGGCGTGCTCTCTTTCTTATCCAGCACCAGCTGCTCCATCTCTTTCCTCAGGTCTTCCTGGTTTATCGCCGTCGAGTCAAAAGCGTCGCTCACAAACTCGGACACTCCGGGACTCGTGGACATCTCCTCCTCTTCCTCCTGAGGTGGCTGACAATGATGCAGACAGGACTGACAAAGCAATTCACTGTGCGACTCTTCCTCAGCTTCTACAATAATATTGGAAAATATACAGATACGCAAACAAACTTACCTTTTGTTTGTCACTGATGGAAACTGGTGGAGTTTTCGGTCTGACATTGTCTGTAAAGAAATAAAACAGTACAAATCACAATGTTCTCTCTAATTAACTCAATGTTCCACAGCATGAGTGGAGTTTACATCAACTTCATGAATGACAACTACAATCTGAATAACAATGAGATGGCAAAAACTGAGAACTTTATTTCTCATAATATTAAACTTCCTGACATTTATTTCATTGCAGATGGTCTCTGCATCTATACCATAAGCTGTCTTTGGCAGATCTGTTGCACTCTTTGCCCGACAGTGACAAACACAGAATCTTTTGGTTGCAGTTGCAGTTTTTAAAAATTTGGAAATGCTGCTGACCCTATTTCAGATTGAAAACTAAAATACAAGTTGTGGTGTTGTTCTCTGGACAAGCACAAACGGGGTCCTCTGGAAACAATGATGCAGTGTTGTTCTCTCTCTGATTGGGTCTCATCAGTCATGACCTGACTACCAGCAGTAAATACGGTAACACTTTCACCTTGTCATTGGCCCTGGTCATGTTTTCTGCAACTCAGCAACCAACTTCAAATCTGCTTCCCGTTTACACCGACACGCTCAAACTCAGTGTATGAATGGTGTTTAAATGGGACATGTATTGATTTCTTATGTATTTTATTTAGTTTCATTATTTAGTCTAGTTTTTACACTTACTTCCATTCAAAAATAGTTTCAACCTTTAACAATAATATTTTAGAATATAGAAGAAGATGGTGAATATCCCTTGTAAGTTTGAAGGTCTTCTTCTTAAGTTACCAACTACCGGTAGAGGTTAGCAGGTGTTAGTGTCCAGTGGATGTTAGGGACATAAGTTCAGTTGTGAACCTTAGCGTGTTTAGGCATGGTAATTAACGATACAGGCAGAACTTGAGGGTCCGCTGAGGCTAAATGTAAATCTGACTGGCTACTGGCTGATTACATCATTACATTGATGCATTTTCAACTAAACACTGTCTCAATTTAGAACATAGGAAAAGAAGGAGAATATCCCTTGTGCTCTATAAAATGTTTGTTAAACCCAAACAAATTTTAAAGTTTCATTTATTGAAGGGTCACTGCAATGATGATATTAATAGTGAAATATAATATACCGTGGTACCATGCCACTGGAACACTAGTTAGAGCATAGAGGAGGCGTCTGACCTGCTAAGACGACGTCCTCAGGTGAAACACTGGCTCCTCTGTCCTCACCGTCCTTCTGCTGCTGCTGGGCTGTCAGCTCTGTGAGCTGAGCCGACTGCTTGATCAGAGACACTCGGTAGAAATAATTCCTCCAGAACGGTTCCTCTTTCACACTGTCCCAACACAAACACATCAATTCTATAATTTAATTTTGATGTTGCACACACACATACACACACAGTGTGACAATGCTGAAAGACTACAGACTGTTTGGGAACCAGGTCGAAGCGCATGCGGTTCAGAAGCTCGTCTTCCTCCAGCATCACAGCAGCCAGGGGATACATCTGCTCCATGTCAAAGTGGAACTGAACACCAGCGGGGGGGTCCCGCAAGAAATTCCTCTTGTCCTAGAATCAAGAGCCAGAGTTAGAATCGAAAACATGCAGTGTTAATGGCACAGGCATGTGAACAGCACATATGGTATAAGTCTTTGCTTACAGCCGACAGAGCAAGGATCTGCTGCTGGATTGTCTCCTCCTCATTGTAGCCCACCCAGGGAGGCACTGCTGCCTCTACAAACACACACACACACCTTCAGTGATGTGCAGTGAGGCTTCATCGACATAACGTGCACAGGAGCTTCAGACAGAACTAGCTTCAGAGAGGTACAACATCACTCAGCCACTGGGCTTATCTCTCCGTCACACACCTGGATCTATGGTAACAGAAGTAATATGAGCTGATAATATCTGTGACTTCACAGCGAACTGTTGGGTTTTCTATGTTTTGATGTTGTATTTTTTAAGATTGTAATTTTCCCTTACTTGTGTGTAAACTGCACTTCCAAGCTTTATTGTGTTTGGATTAACGGCATAACAATAGAAGCCGTCTCAATCCAATAAAGCTGAATTAATGCCCTGAATAGAATATAATGTAGCTTTAGCTTCTATAGTTGTATATGTGGAAAGGTCGACGTTATCAACATTTAGTCAGTGAAATACTCGGCAGCGTTTGCCACAATATAGTCGCGATGTGCAAAGCATGTGACTTCACTCGAGGGTAGTTTACCTTGTAGAGCAACATTCTTTAACAGAAGAGACATTACAGGTGAGTTTAAAATATTATATTGGGCCATTTATTGCAAATAAGATTCTTTTACTTGTGATCTTACCTGATTTTTTGGCTTTGTTCTCTTGAACAAACTTCTCCTGCTCTTTTTGGAAGTCACCCAGAAACGTCTAATTAATTAATTACACACACACACACACACACACACACACACACACACACACACAAAAGTCAATAGTCATGTTATTGTATTGTCACGCTGAGCAAAGTGACAACAACATTTGCACATGCGATCTCTGAGCTGTCTAAAAGCTGCTGAACTCGTCAAGCGAGCCAACAAAGCAACATGCCTTGTCTATGATACCGTCGATCTTTCCTTCTTCCACCGTCTTCTTTATGGTCTGAGCCGTCTCTGACATGGACTCAGAGATCTTCTTGGTGGCACTGGAGGCAAAGCTGAAGATGTAGTCTTCATGTGGAGGACAAAGAGGAGGAGGACAGCTTGGTTAACAGCAAATCTGTGATGAAACGCTTCACTACACGCAAATCAACTGGAAACAAAGATGTTTTTTTCAGCTGTGCCTGAGTGTGCAGTGTAGTCACGTGTTATTTTAACATCATCAGTACACGTGGAAACATTTCTGCGGCAACAAGTAGGCTGCATGTCGTCATCATTGCATAAATCATTGTGCAGGCAAATGTGACCGTCACATTTGGTCACTGCACTAATGACTTGGTCTGCCATGAACAGCTGGCTGGTGATCCTCTTTGGTTCCAACAATCATCTCAACACTCTTCTTACAGTTTAGGTAAATGTCACAGTGCACAGTCTGCACGCCGTAACTTGAGCACACTAAGCAGCAGCTGTAAACCCGCACTGTGAGCTGCATTCTCCTGCTGCAATGGTTTCATGAGGAGTGGCCATGTCCACACTGTCCTCACACACTGAGGAGACTCTGATTAAAACAACCCGAGTGTCCCTCCTCACCTCCCAGTCCTTTCCCCTGCTCCGTGTTCTCCAGGTTGGCCTCAGCTTCTCCTCCACGCTGCTCCGCTGCCTGCTGTTTGTTTACCTCGTTCTGAGCCTCCACCACCTTCACCTCCTCCTCCTTCTCCTCCTGCTGCTCCTGCTCGCTGTCATCTGACGCCTTCGCTAACGTCGGGTTCTCCAAACCCAACCACGACCCCAGACCCTTGAACATGGCGCTGCTAAGCACACTAAGCTTAAATATTAGAGACACAGCGAGAGACTGTCGACTTCTTCCACCAGGAAATACGCCGACAGCTTTTCTTCTTCTCTGGTTGTTTTGCTGTGTGGTTCAACCTGCGTGTTACTGCCACGCAGTGGTCAAAAGGTGGAACGGTGCCCTCCATGTGTTCTGGTCATAGACTGTATCTTCCTCCTGACACTACAGTGACTTTCTGTATATTTACTTCTGTTGAATACAAATGACAAAATAAATAAATTAGATTATTGCCACAAATTAAATTCAGTCAAATAATTCATTACAACAGATTACATCATGATTATATCGGAGATATAAACAGCTGCTATGTATTCAATAATAGTAATAATAATAAAAAGTAATAATAATAATGCCCCAGTCTCCTGATTCAAATTCAAATGACTAGATCCGGATTTTTAATTGAAGCTGCACCAAATACCACAAACTCATAAATATCAGTCCACGAAACTCTGGCCTTTATTCTTCTTCTCAATAATAATATGATTATTATTAGTGGTAGTTATAATAATAATTATGATTATAATATGTATTATTAGTAGTGGTATTAGTAGCAACTGCAATAGTAGCAGAAGACGTTGTATTCTTAATGTAGATGTAACACCAGTCATAAAGCCGACACTTCACCAGCAGGCGGCGGTGTTGCAGTGATATCTGTGGCACGTCTTGCTTGTATCGTAAGAAGAAGAAGAAGAAGACGAAGAAGAAGAAGAAGACGAAAGTAGATTCATGTCCGTCAGGCTGACGTCATTTTACCGGTAACGTCGCTTATCGCTGGTTCTTATAGTTTCATGAGTTTGTATCGTTGAACCTTTAATTCTTAAGTCACTGTAAGGAGTGGGATGCGACGGGAGTCGTTGTCGCAGCATTATGATGGAAGGTTAGCTGCTGTGTTTGGCCGATCTGATGTGAACAGACGAGATCACACCAGACTCCTTTAAAAAACAAGTCTTTTGAAAAGTTGTGACTTTAACCTTACACTTTGTGGTGATTACAAATGAACTCAAACGTTGCAGGATGAATTTGGTTGTTGTGATTCAATCGGCTTCTGAAGGAAAACGATGTATTGAAGTGAAATGTTTTAGAAGGTTATGGTCTGAGATATGAAGATATGATCTACTTATATAGTATATATATATATTAATACATTAATAATATGTACAAACAGTCCTTATTTACAGGACTGAGTAAATATGCGTAGTATGACTGTTTGTAACAAGAATTGTTGCGCAGTTATTTAGATAGAATTTATATTTAAGACAATATTAAATGATTCCATTCATGTGTTTTCCAGGTGAGAGATGAAGACTTTGGTGGTGTTTGATTTCGACCACACTGTGGTCGATGACAACAGTGATACCTGGGTGGTCAGGTAAATGATATATTTATTGAATCAAAGAATGAATCGCAACATAATCCCCTACAACCATAAGTAAGAAGTACTTATTTAAACTATTTAAACTTCAAAAGTGTGTTTTAATCTATGGAATTGTTGCTTCTATTTTACACTAGGAGATCAATGTACCACACTGACTGCATCACCAGATAGACCAATCACTGACCAAGTTTAATATTGGCGTCCTTGTTGCTGTAGATTTACAACATGATTCTTTTTATTTTTATGTAGAGCAATACCTCAGTCTGCTCCACAGTGGATCTACTCTTGTTCTCTGTGTTTTCAGATGCCTTCCAGGTCAGACTCTCCCTGACTCTGTGAAGAATTCCTACAGAAAAGGCCACTGGACTGAGTTCATGGGCCGAGTGATGAACTACATAGGTGAGATTTAGTAGTAGTTAGTGTTCACTCATTCACGCACAGAACTGAACCAAATATAAGTCCCGCTACTTTTTTGTCCATTCGTCCAGGAGACCAGGAGGTCAGCCCTGACAGGGTCCGAAGTGTGATGGAGACCATCCCCTTCACAGCTGGAATGACAGACTTGCTGACATTCATATCACAGAATAAAAGCACCATCGACTGCATCGTCATCTCAGATTCCAACACCATGTTCATAGAGTGGATTCTTCACGCAGCCAGTCTCCAGGTGGCTGTTGATCAGGTTTTCACCAACCCAGCTAAGTTCAACGAGCTCGGGTACATGGAGGTGCAGTGCTACCACTCTCACGAGTGCAATCGATGCCCCGTCAACCTCTGTAAGAGGAAAGTCCTGGAACTTTACTTGTCCGGGCGCTCTGATGGAGGTGTGGAGTATGAGCGTGTATTTTACGTGGGCGATGGCGGGAATGATCTCTGCCCTACTTCCTGTCTGAGGAGTCATGATGTTGTGATGCCCAGGAAGGGGTACACCCTGGAGAAACTGCTGGCCAAACGTGAAGGACAGGTACACGACGCTTCTTTGAGAGCCAGAGTCCTTGCATGGAGCAGCGGCACAGAAATCCTCCAGGAACTGAAGGCAACTATGCAGTTGTAGGAAGCGCCCATGTAGAAAAATATTTTGCTGACTTCTCTGTTGTAACGGAAACATTGCAAATGTTTAGTCAGCAATGAAGGGTGCTCTTGCTGTTCCCTGCAGTATTTTTTGAAGTGTTTATCATTTTAAAAGTAAAGGTAAAATCAAGGTTTTGTCTGTTGATCAGAGGTGGATGTGGGGAATGCGGGTAATTTAGCTCAATTACAAATCATATACATCACTGAAACAATGGTTGCTTTCTTGCTAAGAATCAGATGAGGAGACTGATACCTCTCACATGTCTCAATATAAAGCTACAGCAGTGGTGAGCTTAGCCCAACATAAAGACTGGAAGCAGGGTGAAACAAGGAGCCTTGCCCTTTACAAAGGGGAAAAAAATCAGCATCTAAGCAGTAGGGGTGTGAGATATTTATCATCTAAGATAATATCTTAATTGTTGTTTTAACAATGTGGGGGCTCACATTATCTAGTATTGGTAAGAGGCACATGGAGTGAGCGCTCCTCTCCACTAGCCCAATATTTGAAGACAATAAATCCTTTTTCCAGCGTTCTAGAGATCACAGAGCCTGCCTTCTCATTCCCGGTGCGTGGGTCTCTCAGCCTTATCTCTCTCTCATTCACCCACACTCGTTCCGGACAGAGAGCCCAGCTCCACCAGTGGTCTAATTATCGTTATCTGCAGATCCCAGAAAAAAAATATATAATTGTTTTCAATAAAGCACACCCCTACCCAGCAGGTGTAAAAACTGAATAGCATTATGTCTTAAATCAAATATATTGTGAAATATATACAGGCTATAGGCTTTGTGTTTCAATTTGCTTCCTGTGTTTTTGCCAGATCAAGCTAATCTCCTCCTGGCTCTAAGAGAAAGCAAATAAACATATTTTCCAAAAACTACCAGAGCAGTGCCCAGGTTTCTGCTCAGCGGTGGTTACCATGTTCCAGCCAGTCTCAAACACGACATGTTGTTCACCCATCAGTACTTAATGTAAGAGGGAAGAATGGAAGAGATCACTTATTGCATTGATTATGTGTTCAGCCTTTGTGTAACCTTTAGCTAACTTACATGTTTAGAAGATGATCAAATATCATTCATGCTTTTATTTATGATTTACTTACACACTGATTTTTAAACAACTTTGTTTACAGCTGGAATGTAGCTGCAGCATCCACGTAGATTTACAACAGTTTACTTTAACAAGATGATAGAAATCCAACCGTATAGAAACCTTAGACGTCTTTATAGAAACTGCAGAAGGCCATTTCTCATAACGTCACATCAGTTTAATGTTAGCTTTAAAACTGAATTTACTGATTTTAACATTACATCTCAGGTCCGTGGTTTGAGGTCATCCATGTAAATCAGGTTTGGATTAACCTGATCATGTTAACTCTGTGTTGGCTCTTTAAAATGACCTAAACCTAATATGTTTAAGCTAAATGAACAACAAGTCCTCATTAAGTATTGTCCCAGAGGTTTACTTGAGTAATGTAGATTACGTTTCTGAGTAAGGTGTGCTTCTCATGTTTGAGCAGGTTTCAGGTCTTATTCAGTAATATTATCCAGAGTCTGCAAGTATCGCTACAGTCCTGGGACTTTATCCAGGTTTCTTATAGTTAACACGGCACTGCAGTGTTGTTAAAGTGCTGTGCCAATGCAACACCAATACTCCAAAGGGAATTTAAATGTTCATGATAACATGTTTTCAGAGATTTGTGTGTGACACTTGACGTAACAATCTAATATATATTATGTATTATTCTTAATCTTGTTAATTATAATGATGCAATAACAACCACAACCCCTGTGGACTCTTTTTTTCAACCACTGATTGACCATAAAAAGCTCCTATAACAATGCAGGGATGTGTTAGACTTCTTAAGGAAATATAAATAGTGAATAGTGGGGGATTTCTGTAGGAGTTTATATGTAGTGGGGTGAATTTGGGTAATCTGGGACAGTCATTTAAGTTCTCTAAATGAGAGAAATATGCATTTAGGGAGTTCCTGAAGAAAGTGACCAGTCCCAGTTCATTAAATTCAGGTAGAATTTTCTTTTTTGGCACAAAGAACACCAACAGCTGTGTCATGCCTCCCCTGAGTATGATATCTCAATTCTTTCTTGTGGTGTGGTTAGAAAACATCTGAAGGATTACAGGAAGGTATGATATGTGGATCTAATATGTAAATACAGAATCAATCACAGAAGTCAAACACTTTCACCATCCACGAACAAGATACATTTTTCATGGTTCTGGAATGCTGTAGTTTTAGCTGAAAGCTGAAGTCACTGGTGTCTCTGTCATAGTTTAGCATGTTAGCATGCTAACATTTCCTAGTCAGCATTAACAATGTCAGACAAACGCTGAGATATTTTACAGGACAAAGGAAACAATTGTACTTGATGGTGATGATGCAAATGATGCAATACATAGGATACACCTGTGTGTGTGTGTGTGTGTGTGTGTGTAGTAAAGGTAATAGAGCCCTCATTGTCCTTTATTATATCATTATTGACCAGAGCTTTGCCACAGGGTCTTGAAAGCAGGTAATTTCCCATGGCCCCGAGCTGAAAGGGAGTCCCTGAAAACGGCTGATTACTCCACAGAAATTAGAATTTTGTCCGAACCCCCTTAAATTCTCTGATCGTCGAAATCGTTGATCATTGAAAACCCTCTAACGAGGCCCCATGCCAAAGCTTCATAAGTTCAGAGCTTTTGTTGAACACTGGGACATCTAAATGTATTTGATGTGCCTGGGATGGTAGTGGGGATTTTCACATTAACTTTCATCCATGTGTACGTATAAAGATTGAAGAATGTATTGATGTAGGTTGAAACACTCCTGGTTATTGATGCAACCTGTTGTCATAACCCAAACATGAGCCAGTGGTTTGACTGATGAGGTGATAAGCTGAATACGTCTGTAGAAAAGGCAAATGTTTTCCTTCCCAAGACTGACATGAGATAAAAAGACACGGCCACGGACTGACAGAGGTTTTACACTGACATTTATTTTCAAAAATCATAGAAACAGCTCTGAAGTCTAGCTGGTATTTATCATGGTCCAAGCAGCAGGCTGTTTGATGCCTGGCACTATCTTCATTGGGAGGAAGCTTGAGACAGGGCTTGCTGTATTAAATGAAGAAGCCTTTAAGTAGCTGTGAGCACTTTTTCCACATAGGTGTCAAACGTACACACTGAGTGCAAAAGCATCACACCTCTCTTCACATGAACTTTTGAAAGGAGGACAAAACAGTATCTATGCAGACTGGTCAGACAACATGGAAATAACATGTCAATAACTTCTCTGAGCTAAGTCAATGTTGCTAAGTCAAGATATTAGTTTCACATCTGTGCAACAGCTCAATGCACGGTCAATTTCCACTGAGATTAATTATGAGAATGCCGATGTTGTGACAAAGGTCACTGTAGCTTTCAGTGCCAAGAGCGGTCAAGCTTACATGCATCTTATTGATTAGTTGATCAATAGAAAACTAATGTGCAACTTTTTTGTAACTCAATACATAGTTTTGAGTCTTTTTAAAAAAACAGTCAACAACCTCAGTATAAATGTTTGCTGTTTATTTTCATATGAATGTAAACTGAATATCTGTAGGATGTGAACTTATGATCAGACAGCAGAGGAAGTCACCCCGGATTTTTATTGACAAAACAATTAATTGATTGATTAAAAAGCATTATAGATTTTATTACCAATGATGAACATTTTCATGTGAGGGTCTATATCTAGTTTTATCTTAATCAACGAACCATTCCTGTTGCCTTAACAGGCCCATTGATTCAAATCTGCTGCAGCCTAAAGGTCTATTAACCCTCCCCCACTGCACCTCTCTCCTCACAGACACTATCGTCTCATTTCCACCTCTGTTGACAACTGTATAGCATAATGTGGATTGCATGCATGGGATCCTGGTCGATGTCATTGTAGGAGCAGTGTTGTGGTAAACATCAAACCATATAAAAGAGCAAACCACTAGAGATTGTACCATGATGATAATGACTTGCAAAACATCCAAAATAAAATAATAAATGTTTTGTTACAATTTGAAAGGAGTAGCTCCTAAAATATTATTTATGTTCAATACAGTATATATTAGCTACACCCTGCAGGGGTCCCTCAGAGGATAAGCAATATAGATGATGAATCTAATCTAATATAATGCAATTCAATACAATCTAATACATTCTAATACAATACAAATAATCTAATTTAATATGATAATTATAATCTAATATGATTGATGATTTATACATACAAATATTTACATGTAAAACAGATAGAAATATGCATATACTCTCAGCATACGAAAAGATAGCCCTCTAGGAAACGTTCTCCTCACACTCTTGGTTCAGAAATATCTGTTCTTGTATTTTTTCATTTGCTGTCAGATGTTTTTCTGCAACAAGTCTGTTATAATTCCCAATCAATCAGATGCCAGGTGTAGTGATGACGAATGAATCCAAGAGCAAACGTTTCACGTGTGCACAGAAGCAGCATAAGCCCGAGAGGAGCTGAGGTGGGAGCCCAGGAAATCTGAGCGCAAGCAGGGTATATTTGAGTGTGAGCACAGGGCAGGGTTTTGAGTGAGAGCATTACAAAAAACCTCAACTTTAAATCAATAAGTCCTGGTTTTCAATGTGAAAGACCACACTCTTGAATAAAGACAGCGACAAATAAATATAACTGCAAAGACCCCAAACTCTGAAGAGCTGCTGGATGCCCTGAGAGAGGCCTCGGCTCTGAAGGTTTGATAACAGACGTTGCTCTGCAGCGCTCTGTGCTAGCAGCTCATCCATCCTGGGTCACATTCTCTGCTGATGTGGCAGAGGAGCAGGAGCCCCATGGTTTGGTATGTGAGAGAGGAGAAGGTGGAGGAGGGGTCATCATGCGTGGATTATGTCAATTAAAGAAACTGAAGCACTTCTGTACTGAGCAGTCAATCAGCCTTGACCCACCTCGTGCATCTGCATCACACTAATCAAGGGCCCTGCCTCATCTCAGTGTGTGAGCATCATGGAATAGTGAAGGAGGAGAGCTCTTCGTGTGGAGGACGGACTAACAAGTACTTAAGTGTATGAATAAGGAACATGATCTCATGACAAAATAATAACAGCAATATAGATGGAGCATATTGTTAGGACATTCATTAACCAGCGAAGGACATGTTGCACATTTAATGGCAGAGTGATTTAAAAGGCCGTCATTCAAGCAGACAACCTTGTTTCATGTCGCATGTTACCGATATTAGCAAACATCTGTAGAGCTGCAGCAGCCTGTAGAGAGACGGTGGAGTCCAGCTGGAGGGTGATGTTCTCCTGCTCTCCCTGACCCCACACCTCCATGTCAGAGAGGGGATTAAAGAGTCTTCAAGAAAGCAATAATTTATCACTAAAGCCAACATGGTGGAGCCAGGGTGTTAATTTCTGTGTTATGGTTAACAGGGGAGTGACACTGTTGGGAAGTTGTCTTCCATATTGTCCCCCACTATGACTGTGGATGACCTAAGTTACCCTTGTGAGGTAAAGAGGGCCCATGAGGCCTTCTTGTTGTTCCATGCATGCCCCACCCTGGACAAAAACACCTGCAGGCTGTGAGTAGGCAGGTCAGAGAACTTCTCTCTCCATTTAACAGAATTCTTTGCAAGGTCAAAATTGTAATTTTTAGATGACAAC